CAGCTCATGCAGCTCCTCATATCACAACGCAATATTGAAGCTACTTATGTCTGATGCAGACACCTTCCCATAGTCCAGTTTCACCACTGAAGGCTCAATGAAAGTCAGGTCGCTCCAATGCCAAGTTGCACCCACAAGGGTCCAAACTTCCACACCCCCTTTCGACATGACATTCATTTCTCTCTCTATACATACGCAGATGCATATCCAGTATGAACTTCGCCATACCTTCAAGGTCAAGCTCACAGAATACATCGTATTCGCCAGGATACTTCGATGCTCCAAGCACCTCACCAGGAAAATGAAGTATAAACTCTTCCGACGCATCCGAAGTTTCCAAAAAAATATATAACTGTCTTGGAAAATCACCTGATCCTCAAGAGATAAACGGTTGTTCCTCCAATACTTCGCTCATCTTAAATAAACAGTCCATCCATTCCACAACCATCGCCAATGCTGATGTCAGCAATACCCCATAGACGTCGCCATGGGCACAGCTCCCATCAATCTTCAACCAGTCAACATCACCAGTCCAGAATCCATCAACTGATCAAAGAAACCATGGCGTCAATTCACGATCAACTACGGTGCTGTTTGTGAATCCCTAGAACAAACAACAAACACCAACAACACACACACGAGATCCAAGACGGAGACAGACGAAGCACTGTCGGAGTCAACATAAAACCAAGGCCGACTGTTTCAGCTAATCCGCATCCTCCAATGGAAGATAAACGCGTCAGACAAGCAAAACTGTCATCAGCCTCAACTACTCACAATCCAAAAACATATTCGTGGTATCAAAGTTTTGAACACGAATACATTGATACACCAGGCAAACTCGGTCTCAGACAGGCTATAGGCTAGATACACTAAGCTCGGAACACCTTAGATACCAAGCGTTCTAAGTTTCAGGCACGCTAGGCATGAGGTGCACTAAGCTCAGTGCAAACTTCCAAGGCTGGACCTTATCCCCCTTTTGAGATGAAGTCCATCAACCTTCAAAAAAAATTCAAATGAATTCTGGCCATCATAAAAGTTGATCTATTGCAAGTTCAAACAGAGAAAGCAACTACCTAAGCAACTTCACAATCACTACCTATGAACATGTTCACAACGCCAGGGAAATCCATTCCACTGACATCAAGATGCGCAAACCTATCAAAGGTAATTTCAACAACAACGACATGTATCTCAAGTCAGGGATGTCCAATCCACTGATTTCACAATCAAATCAATCGCAAGACGCTCAACATCAAAAAAACAAAAACTTTTCAAGGGTTTCCATCAGACGTTTGGCCTGGACCTACTTTGATTCTCCTCAATTAAGAATCAGGTCTGGCCTTGTCATCATTTGGAAAACGGCGGCGGACAAACACAAACCACACTCAACAATGAATCAATCACGATGCACAAGTTCACAACAAATTCACAAACATGCTCAAGTTTACACACATGCTCAAGTTCACAAACATGCTCAAGTTCACAAGCATGTCCAAGTTCATGACCAAGTTCACAAACATATCCAAATTCACAAGCACGTTCAAGAACATCACAAACATGACCCCGTTCCAATCCAGAGCCAATTCATCCCAAGCAATATCAAACCTTGCATGCTCACCCCCTTTTTCGTGCTGGAGGTCTGAATCGCAGATACAGTCATAGCAATGGTGCACCAGAGTGAACCTCGAGCTAGGCGATACTAGCTATTCTCTCTGGTACAAAGAAAACTGCTAATCTTTCACAGAAAAATTCAGGCCTCTCTCAGATGTCATCTCCGAGCGGCACCAGCGTCTTTATTGGTACACCCGACGACATTGTTGTTGCCCATCGCGCAACATAGCTAGGCCGCCTGGTGCCCAAAGCGATACGAGGGCACTCACTTGGGCTCCCTTGTATGGCGTATAGGGGATAATGTGCGGACTTCACCGCTGGTTGCATCTTTCGACATGATAGCCCCTTGCCGTTGGCTTGGGGTCGGCAGCCCAGGATGCATAGACGTGGTCGGCCTCTGCTCTCCAGGATTGATAGGGCAGAAGCCCACAAATATGGACTCAGGCAGTGCAGGCGGTGTCATCACTCCTGGTGGCATGGTCCCTGATGGCACTGCAGGAGGTGGCACCTGTGGTGGCTGCACATTAGTCGGCAGTCCATGTGCCGGGGCTCCTAGGACTCCATGCACTGGTGCTCCGCCTGCGGAGGATCCATGTCCAGACGCCCCCTTCAGGGCATGTTCAGGCACGGATGGTGGAACCGTGTTCCCAGTCATTCCAACCATACCAGGCGTGACAGGAGTTCCCATCGGTCCAACTCCGCTTGGAAGATTCGGAAGTGGGAATGATGAGTAACCTTCCATCCTTTCAGGCATCGGCATCCCTGGGGCCGTCGAAGGATCTGGTCCACCCTTTTCTCCGATCACCCGGATGAAATTCCGAAGGAGTTCAGTCATCTCCCCAAGGCCTTCCTTGATGTCTCCAAGGCCTGACTTGATGGCCTGTTCGATTTTCTCCCCTCGATTTCCCACTTCTGCTTTCACAGAGCCAATGTTGTCTTCAAGGGTATTGTTGCCCTTCAGCGACCATTTGGCTATGTGACTGAACTTGTCGAAAGCAGCGAGCAGCTTCTTCACCTCGTTACTTTGATGAGTAACGGTACTACCCATTGCCGTTGCCGCATGCGCATGAAGAGCAAGCTGCTCTTTGATACTTCCCAGGCTTTTCACCAATTCCAGGCGTCCTTCATTATACCCTTCCATGGCCTGGTTCAGCTCTGCCCCCATGTCTGCAATTCGGCGTGAGCATGCCAGGATACTCTGCGCCAAGGCCTTTGAAGACTTCTTCATCGAAATCTCGGGATCCCCAGTGGTATCCTCAATGACTTCCTCAGGGATTGGAAGAGCCTCCCCATCACGGCCTTCTGCAACAGCTGGCGTTCCAAGGACTTCCACCGTGGCTCCAGGGGCTCCCAACTCGGCTCCAGAGGTTCCCAACGAGGCTCGAGTTGGTGATCTCGATCGGTCAACTCGGTCTCCTTCCGCATCATTGCCACGGAGTTCATCTTCAGTTGCCATGCTGACTACCCTCTCGAGTCTACGATGCAAGGCTTGGACAACACGGGCAGACAATCCCTGTTGAATGTAGAGCCGCATTCTTCCATTTTCATCATCCCAACATGAAAGACATGCCAAACAACACAAGTCACTAAACAACACAAATCATTCACAAGACTGTTTCCCAAAATTCTGGACGCCACCAGCATACCAGAATTTTGCGAACCAGTATCTCAAGTTTCAACATGCAACACAATCTGGCCTCACTTCCAAAGCAGTCACCATCCCTAAAACTAAAACAAGTTCTCGTGAATTCACTGTGCAATCCCTATTGTATGCAGCACCACCTCAAAAAAACGATTGACAGACATGCAAGTTCAGGAAATGAGGATGTCTCCGTGGTTTGATCAGAACCCTTCAACAAGTCATCTCCGCAAAATTGCACTCGCCAACTGACAAACAAACGAAAAATCTAACTGCAGCAAAAACAAGGCGCATTGCACAAAACGCTCAAAATTTGTTTGCGTTTCATTTGTTTACTTCGTTTCGTGTGTTTCCGTTTCGTCTGAAACCAAAAAAACACTTGACTGCATCAAAAATGAAATGTGCCAACCAGCAATTGCAAATGCTCAGACCGCATTTTCCATCATCTTGCAATGGATCACACAACTGGGCCTAGGAACTGTAGCCTTCCACGTAAGACTATCGCCGCACACAAACGCAGCGGTGGAAGTTGAAAGTCACAACTGACATTGAAACCATAACTATAGTAATCTACAGCTCACTCATGGACATCCTGATCGAGATTCTCGGTCGGGATGTTCATGAGTAGACCAGTATTCAACCCTCTCATTGGAAATGCAGATCCCAACAATAGCATAGGTCAGAAACGCAATGTCACTGAAATTGCATCCAATGAAATACTCTCCATCTCAGAACATTCCCAGCTTACCAAAAAGCAGAATCTCGATGGCTACCGAAGACAAATGCAGTCTCATCGAAATGGCATCCAAATGAGCAACTGTTCCAAGTGGAAGCGCACAATGGTCGAATCTCCATCTTGCGACATGAAGGAGCATAACGGTACCACTCCAGATACTCACACTCTCATTCAGCAAAACAAATGGCTTCGCGGTACTGATGCACAAATAATGCAAACATGTGACGCAGTCCACAACAAGTCCAAACGTGTCCCATGCTAAATCACTTCTAGGCAAGTTGTCGGAGTCTCCACAGTCCAAACACCTACACTAGTGCCTCCAGGACCTACTCCCAACCTCAGCCTATCAAAATATTCTCAACGCTCCTTTCCAGGCAATCAATCGACAAGTCACTTTCACCACATGACCTACAGCCAACATGCCACAAAAAGGATTGAAACTTATTTTTCACTCCACAACATAGCGCGTTGTTTTTCGGAAAATCAAAATAAAAACAAAAGGTGAAATCACAACAACCATGACAGTAACATGTGAACATCCGAGTCAACACAGCAGCACCTGTTTTACACCGGGGAAAGTTTCTGTACCTTCCGAGATCCAGGGCTCGGGGTGTGGCTCCTTTTAGGAACCAATTTTGACGTGGGTGGGAAAAAGGTTGGCTTATGAAAGCAAACAGGGAGGGAAAGACGGAAAAATTCCATCAGAGGGTAATCCCTCCCTCCACACCCTTGAAAGGAAATGTTTCAGATGAAACAAATAATTACCTGATTTCCAAAAAACAAATAACGCGCAGCAAAAACCGTGGTTTGTTGACAACAGTTTGAAAAACCAAACCCAAAACAGTTTTTGCCAAAAACGTTGTTGCGTGTGCAAATAAGGAAAAGTTTCTCAGAGAGAAACTCACATCTTATTTTTCACTCCACAACATAGCGCGTTGTTTTTCGGAAAATCAAAATAAAAACAAAAGGTGAAATCACAACAACCATGACAGTAACATGTGAACATCCGAGTCAACACAGCAGCACCTGTTTTACACCGGGGAAAGTTTCTGTACCTTCCGAGATCCGCCCCAGTTCAAAGTCCAAGGTGGCGTGAAACCTTCTCCCAATCAATGTTGGTTTGGCTCGCGCCCTTTGCAAGGACATGACTGTGATCCAGGCGACTTGGTGCATCTGCAGGGTTGCTATGGCTCGGTACACGGCCAAACCAGACACGGTGTTGTTGTGCCGCCTCGTTTTCAACAAACGATTGCACCAACAAGCTTGCTCGCACTGTTTCGCCAGTACCTCGGATATAAGCCATTCTGGCTGACTCATTGTCGATATAGTACACCACCTGTGCACAAGTGAAGTGGTGGCCCCAAGCAAGCGATGCAATCAGCACCGGAAGAACTTCTAGCTCATGGATTGGATTCTTTGATCGTCTAAACAAGTCTTCCATTATTGCTGTTGGCACAGCTTCGCCAAAGAAAGAAGCACAGGAGCCGGATGGGTCGTAGATGACCCCACCAACCGACCCTGTCATGTCTTCTTGATTGCAAGCGCCATCTGTGAAGACCAGCCATGTACTGTGTAAGTTTCGCTGGATTTCAAGCGGCCGGCCATCGCTTATCCTTCGCTGCAGAAAACCTAGTGCCCTGGTCATTTCAGCGTCCAAAGGTTTGGGCTTGTTGGAGCTTCCACAAAAACGCCCCAAAGTCTTGGTGCTGGAGTTGGCAACCCTCCCGAAGGTGAAGCCTTCAAAGAAGATCATCCTCCCTCGAAGCTTCTCGGCCTCTTTGGGACTCAGTGCTCCATTGGATAGCACCTGTTTCAGCTGAGCACCCAGCTCCTCCTTCCTGCTTTCTGTGTGCCCCACAAACGCCCGTCCATCACTGAACTGAGACACGTCCACTTCCAGGCCCAACGTACGGAAAAGGCTGTCGAACGGAAGGAACTTCTTTCCTTCTGTCGCATATCTCATGCCAAGCAAAGAAAACAAAGATTCACAAGCCCAACTGCTGTTTTGCTCCAACTCCGCCCTTGTAAGCAAGGTGAAGTCGTCACAAAAAGCGCTCCAAAGCAAGCCCAATCCAAAGTAGCCAATGTACCATAAGGCTTGGCTCACCCGAAGGAAACCAGCCACCGACCCCACAGCTCCAAAGGGCAAGGAATTGAAACCTATCACTGCATGAGCCTCCTGCCCTGGCACATTCACACCCATCCTCAAGGTGTTGCGGTCGCCCTCACTCACAGCAAATTGCTTGTATGCCGACTTCAAGTCGTACGTACGACCTTTCACAGCAGGTATGAAACCAGGGGGGCAGGTACGAAAAGCATGACCCATGATTGCAGCCAAAAAATCGATGGCATGGAGCTTGAACTTCTCATGCAGCCCCACTGTAAGATTTAACCCGCAGCAGGTGCAATCATCGATCACCCGCACCTTGGAACCCTGATGGATCCCAAAGCGCCTTCCCAGAAACTTGTTGTCAAGATCCTCGGAGTTGTCGAGGAAAATCCAACCCTTGCGCAACTCTTCCTCCGTCTCCTTCCAAGTCTGTTCTTCCAGCTCTGCATCTTGTCTTTTTCTCAAAGCATCCACGTTTCTAGAGTTGAAAGACCGGCTGAGTTTGCGCAATGTCTCCAAGGAAAACGCTGGCCTCTTGGACCTCGCACGGAAAACGTTCGACTTGGTCATGTAGCCACTCAATTTGAAACCACATGCGATGTCCTCTGTCAGCTTGGTGTCAGGGTAGTCCAAGTCATCCAAAATTTCCTTGAAAAGGACTAGACGCTTGTCGCCCAGGACATTGCGCACGTGTTCAGGCATTCTCTTCCTGAAACTTTCCTCCTCCAGTTTGAGGTCTTTGGCTCTTGCTGTCCACTTTTTCAGAAACTCAACCCTTTTCTTGGCCAAACAAAAAGGCGGGTCGACCAGGTTGGCCTTCACGACTGAGGCCATGGCTGCGTCCACATGGACGTCCATCCCGCGCGGATGTCCCGCTCTCAGAGCTCGCAGCACAAAATCATCTGGATCGCTTGGCAAACCAATCCAGCACAATTCAACCATGGCATCATCTGGCAGCTCCTTTGAGTTTGCAAGAAAATGGTGAGAAACACCCTCACCCTCGACCCGGATTTTACCCCTTGTCAAGAGCTGTCGAGAGGTGACTTTGCTTCCTTTGGGCTGCTGTCTCAAAAATTCTTCAACACATAGTGACTGCTGTAAGGGTGCAATTGCTGCTGTAAAGGAACCAAACTCTGCAACCAGCGGCTTTACCTTGGCTCCTCGGGGCAGTGAACCGAGGGCAATGCGGCCAGCAGCATCAGCGTCGGGCTGCTGTAGCTGTTGTTCCAAGTTGTTTGATTGGACTGCACCATACGCAAGCACTTTGTGTTTGATGCAATCGATGATGCGCTCACACAGCACAAAAGGGTAGGCCGCCTCATCAGCAGTTGGAAATGACACCTTGTTTCCTGAAACTGTGACTTTCCATGATTTGTGTGGGTGTGATCCATCGCACCTTGCATTGAGACTGTCCAGCCAATCTGCACACACCCAAACAGACGTAAGCTTGTCACGTTCACCACCGTGGCAGCAGTTGTGGAAGCTGACATATTGGTCACCAAATTGCTCCACGAGGTTCAGCATGGGTGTGGTTCCCCAGTAATGACTATTGCCTGGGTTTTCGATTGCAGTGAAAATCTGAGCCTTGCACGAAGTTTGTGCAATCTGTTCAACAGCATCGTACAACATGTTGGCCTTCTCGACCTTCAACTTGTTTGTACCCTCCAGCCCATCAATTTGGTCAGGCTGGGATTTGGACCTGAGAGGTATTGGCTCCGCCACCCCAAGACGTGTGAGCTGGGGCAGCTTCCGCTCACGTGCACGACTTGCTGTCCCGCACGATGGTGCTATCCAGACTGCTGCAATGTTGTCTGCTTCTTCTTTCAAAAATTTGCACAACTCATCTACTTGAGTCTGATCTTCCAACTCGAAAATGCAAATGTCAATGCCACATGATCGGCTCGAAGAATGGTCAATGGCTAAGCCATGGAACCCTGCTTCTCTAGCAACTCGAGTGAGCCTGGCACTGCCTGCACAAATCTCGACAACAAGTATGTCGCTGAGGAGCTTGCCTGCAAATTTATTTCTCTGCTTGGCTTCAAAGGCATTCGGTTCTTGATCTTCGACATGAACCGTAGGAGCAAGTGAAACTGGCGGGGCAACGGGACCAATGTGTTGAACATTGTTGCCTCCTTTTTCACCCCGCTTCTTTGCAGCTGGTTGTTGGAGCCCAGCTGAAATAGGTGATACTGCTTTGCGTTTACCACCTGGCTCCAAAATGGATCCAGTGGCTCCGATTTGTCAAGCTCCATCATTCTTTGCAAGTCCTCTGCAGACCACCACTGAGTGTCCTGCTTTGTGGCAGTTTGCACAAACGTGGAAACCTTTGGCACATCGAGAGGGCTTTCCTGTTGTTGTATTTCTGCAGCCAGTCTTCAAATTGTAAGCCCAGCACACTGGACCGTGCTCGCACCTGAGGTTGAACTTTTTGAGCTCATCAGGGCATTGTTTCTCAGCCCTTGTCTTGCGCTTCTTGCTGGTGCTGCTCTTTGCTGACGCCTGTGTTGGTCCAGTCGTTGGAGGTCTTTTTGGAGCAACCTCTTTGTCCACAACTTTGGCCCCAGCAGGAGCAGGCAAAAGGAACATGGTAATGCGAGGGTCCTGACAAAAGCGCTTGAAGAGTCCATCCAGCGGGACCTCACCAGCTGCGCTCACTTTCAAAGTTCCTTTGTGCTCCTGGGCCAGCAAAGTCCACAGCTCCCGGTCCGCGCGGACCAACTGGTCCATCTTCACCGGCTGAAAGTTTGGGGGAGCTTGCTGGCTGAGCGTTCGAAATAACTGTTGTACCCAGGCTTCATGTGTAGCCCATGTGAGAAGTTGGCATTGATCCATTGCAATGCCACGCCTCTGCAAGCACCATTGGAGCTTTATTTCGCTACCACAGTCAGCTTTGAAGTCTTCAGAGATTTGTGCAATCTTGAGCTGCTGATTCTCCACTTGCACTGCGGAGGGCCTCTCTTTGATTGACAACTGAACTTCCTCCGATCGTTTGGTGCATCTTGACGGGGCTATCCAAATTATTGACCCAGTCTCCAGCACGTTGTTTGTAAGATCCAATAGCTGGTGCGACGGCTCCAACTCACCTGAGATGGCTATGCCTGCCAGCCTCTGCTCCTGTTGCTCCAACCTGTAGCGCTTTTCTGCAACTGGAATGCGCTTCACACTGTCAGGTCTATCTGAAGACTCTCCGTCAACTCTCTGCTTGACCGAGGCTATCATCAATGTTGTCGATTCGAAGTGAAGCCTCCGTAACATTGACGTCTGCCCCAAAGTGAAGCCTCCACCAAAGACGGCCTGAGCCAAGGTGTCAAATTGTTGATCCGTCGGAGGAGTTTGCGGAGTGCCCAGTGCAAAGGCCATCGCGCTGAAGCTATTGATATTCTGCGCCGCCAAGGCATTTCCAAAGTTCCCACTTCGGTCAAGCTCGCTGCATCTCTGTGTGAACGCTGCATTGCTCTCGACGAGTGACATGGTGAAAACAGATTGGAAACCCAAATGATTGAGTCACAACGGAATGAAATTCTCTTAAAACTTGTAATCCCACGTGTCACCGCGGCATCGTCAAACAGCTAAGATCACTTGTGAAGTGAAATCCTGTTGCATGCATCCCCATTTGAGGGCTAGCGCATGTTTCTTGATTGTGTCTTGGTGTCGCGTTCAACTCTTTGCACTAACCTACGGCTTGTGCCTCAGAGTCTCTCCACGCACACTCATCTCACAAATCAAAAGAAAAATAAAATGAATCTCATCCAATCTGTCTTTCTGCACATGGTTTGACTCATCAAGCTCACAACACTCGCAATCCAAGACTCGTCACCGGGTCTCTTTTTGGACTCTTGCTGTGTTTGAGTATCTGACGGTCGTGCAGCGGTGTGACAATGGTATCGGGCTGTTTGGTGCCCATGTTGGGCTCCCTCTCAACTCAATTCCCTATTGGCGCCATGCAAATTTGGTGCCACGCGTTTTCTGCCGCACAAGCACATCTCTCTCATTCAAATGATGTGACAAGCAGTGCAAGCACAGAAAAAGATGATGCACGAAAATTCAAAACGATGAGAATCTGAACTGAAATAAGTGCAGTGCAAACGCGACGCTGGGTTCAACTCCAAACAGCTACCTGCCCTGTGTCGCACCAGTCGTCGCTGACATTGGGTGTCGCTGTCAAACTGACATCAAAATACTGGAAATGAAATTTTGAGATTATTCCAAAATGAAACCTGCACAGTGTTGAACGACTGACTGCTTAGGACCGAGCTCCGGTGTCTGACACGTGTGTGCTCTGTGACACATATGACTCTCAATCAACAGCCAGTAGTTATGACACTATCGGCAAAACTGAAATGAGTTTGCTGACCAGGGAATCCACCGAGAGCAGGGCAGGATCCAGCCATCTACGGTGACCGTGCCAGTCTAGCTGCCCTGAACCAATTCATGCTTGAGCTCTCACATCTTAATTAATTCTTAAGTTGAAGAGGACATGACTGCAAGCTCCAATAACATGAGTTTCTGTATGGCAGCAATGCTTTTGGGCACGACTTGAATCACCGCAAAACATGCCAACAACTCTGCACTCGCAAACCGTTCTCTGAAGCACAAATCAGAAGAAAGGAACGTTTTGCAAAACTGAGGTCGGCACAAATAGGACATGAATCTGCTCCAATGGAACAAGTCGTTCCAGTGCGAGTTGCAAAACCAAAAAATCAACAGCTACTCTCCTATTCAGACTGTTTAGCTTTCTTGAAACAAGCCCAGCAAACAGGAGAATCAAAACGGGGTGTTGCTTCCAACCTTTGATGGAAACTTCCAACCTGTCTGCCGCACACAAACACTCTGGCATAACCTTCAGCGGTCAAATGCACAGTCTTCAACTTAGCATGCTGCCAGCGGGAGAAACCTGCAGGCGGTTCAGGAGGTGCATATACCTTGTTCAAACTGTGATCCTGAGGTATGCCATGATCAGAAGAGCTTGAGTCTGAAGTGCTATCAGAAGACTCCTCAACATCTTGATTGCTTGCAGCATCATCATCTGACGAATTGACAACTTCCACTTTCACATGGCTGAGATGGGCGCCCGGCAACTCATCGGGTGACTCGACAATGCGGCCACTGCGGGTACTGTCTGGTCTGAACTTCCCTTTGACAATTTCATCAATCAAACGCTCTAAAAGCAACAGGCTTGCAGCAGCTCCATCCCTAGAGTACACAAGAGACATCTGCATGCTAGATGAGTGATACCCCAACATGAGTCTGTCAGGAACTGGCAATCCACGCTTTGCTGCAAATGACAACATGGTGCATTTGAGGCTGTGGCTGCTGACTCGGCGTCCATCAGAGCTTTCTGACATGGGCGCAACGTCCAGCAACTTCCGCAACCACTTTCCACACTCTCCGGATTCTAGCGGCCTTTCGGTGGCCTGCCCATGTTGATCTGGAGCGGGCATCACCAGCCCTTCCGGTGGGAATGTCAAACCTTTTGACCTGCGAAGTTCGATCCATGGTGTAGCCCAGTCCTTGCCATTGACCCCTCTGACTGGAGCCACCATTGGAAGAAACTGATGCCGATGCATCTGAGCTGCCATTGTCTTGTGCCTCCCTGTCCGAGTCTCCAGGAATGCAGGGTGACCTGTATCGTCATAGTCTACGAAAGCCATCTCGCTCCGCATCAAGTCGCCCCACCTGCCCCTGCAGTAGCAGCACAACAATGCGGCCCCTGCAAATAGGGCATTCCAAATGTCCGTGGGGTCCTCCACCATGGAGTGGAGCTTCAGCAACTCCTGCACGCTGAGCGGGCTAGCTTGCTTGCGCTCTTTGACATTCTCGTCATGAGTTGTACCTTTGCATCTTCTGCTGTCCATGATGGGCTGCAGCTCTACCACATCCATGACATGTCTGCAAAAAGTCACTGCTTGAAGAAACCCACGCAGACGGCTGGTCGGAGCTCCCGTCGACAACTCTGCACACAAGAACCTGTAAAAGACCAGCTCACTCATGGGAAAGGACTCCAGCTGATTTGAATCCAAAAAATCGCACACCTTCAAAACAGCGGTCCCGCGCTTCCTGACTGTGGTGGGAGCCCTACCTGCAAAAAGGTGTGCAAACATGTTGAACTGTTCAGTCTCGTTTTGCATCTCACTGAGCTTCCTTATGAATGAGCATGAATCTGACCACTTGCTTGTGACAGCCATCCATAGGTTCAATCCTCTCTGCAGATCTGATTCACGTTGGTCTTTCCAGGGCACATCAGGTTTAAATGTGACCACCTCCATGTAAGCGCAACACTGTTCAAACTTCCGCTTGCCACTTGAATCAGATGTCGACTCAATGCCAGAAGGTTGCACTCCCCACAGAGCGGGTGCTGGCCTTTTGGCCGGCGGGCCCCATACATCAAAATCCAGTACGTCATTCTCATCTCCAAAAATGTGTTTCCAGATTCCGGTCTCCCAAATCTGTTTCGGTTGTTCAGGAGCAAGACTATTGAAAGCTGACTGAAAAGCATTTTGGAAATTCATGGCGTCTGTGTCATCGTTTGCAACAACAGTTGAAGTGTGCACAACAGCGTTTGTGTCGTTTCCAAGTACCATGTGTTCCACTGAGGCAGCAGTTGTTGGGCTAACCATTGATTCACGGTCCTGTTCAACCTCGCCTAAGACAGGGCATGATTCTCTAACAGGTTGATCATCATCAAGTCCACTGACGTCCCCAAATGAAGCCGCACGTTTGCTGACATCATCACTGAAGCTTAAAAAGTCATCAGTCCCTGCATTTGTCCAATCTTGCACAGAGAAATCAGTAACCTTGCTGTCAGTCGCATCCATGGCACTAAACGGCATCGCTTACCCCCATTGAAAGACGGAAAAATTCCATCAGAGGGTAATCCCTCCCTCCACACCCTTTTATTCCTTTTTGAAACCGCAACTGCGTTTGCACGCGCTCACAAAATTAAACTTTGCCAAATAAATTCCGAAAAAAAAATAAAAACATTCGCAACGACAACTCGACCAACACAACGTGAATGGATTTCACTGCTCACACCTTTTTTCTAACCAAAGCAGTTGGGGATCATTCGGTGTGCCCGTGCTCGTACGGCAGGGCTAGGCTAATTGCAATGGTAACTGCTGGGCCACGACCCCTGCTTGAGGGGAATCAGCAGTTAAATCGTCCGAATACCTTTCCATGTACTCGTTCCAAGCAGCCCAATTGACCGTGGAAACGGAGGCGTGATCTTCCGAGGTCAAAAATATGAATATGCCAAAGTCCATCCAGTCATATCGATGCACGATATAGGTGACGACCAACAGTGGAAGTTGAAGCACCATTTGGCTGCGGTGGTCGTCAAACGGGAATTGTAGGAGCCTAAAAGTCCTTTGCATGTCCGTATTGGAGTCTTCGATGAGATCCTGCGATGGGTCGGACATGACCACAATATGAACTACGTTGGGCGGTGCCCACGTGTTTGGACCAAACTGTCCGGAAAATAACAGTGGTCAGAACCCCGGATTTGAAAAACATAGAACCAAAAGAAAAAGGGTGGGGAAACTGTAAACAGTTTGGGTGGGTCATCAACGAGTAAAAATACACGAATGGTCCCACCACAACCCTCCCTTAAACCAAAATGGTTCTCATGCAATATAAAATTTGTATGTGTTTCACACAGAGGTCAGAAGTGGAATACTGTAAAACATCGATATGTTAAACAAACAGTACAACCATGGCCAGTTGAAACAGGGCAAACAGATCAGAGAAAACCTCAAAAAGTTTTCAAGTTGTTTGGCACAGTGTTTAAACGCATGTGTTCACCAAACGCCAGTTGCTAATTTTGGATCACCCAAAATTTTTCTTTTAGGAATAAGGTTTGTATCCTCCTTACAGGAGGAGTCCCAACTTATTCCTTTTTGAAACCGCAAATGCGTTTGCACGCGCTCACAAAATTAAACTTTGCCAAATAAATTCCGAAAAAAAATTAAAAACATTCGCCACGACAACTCGACCAACACAACGTGAATGGATTTCACTGCTCACACCTTTTTTCTAACCAAAGCAGTTGGGGATCATTCGGTGTGCCCGTGCTCTCCCCTTTTTGAAAACGCACCCGAAACTCAAAAGAGATTCTCTAGGATGATTTCCCAGTCTATCTCGATTTGTTTCGACCCCAACTGCCCCACCTCTTCGAAGTCCAGTCTGCTTGGACCATTAGAGATGTTAGAGTGTGAAGGTACCCTTGCGTACCAAGACTTTGTTTTTGAAACACTTTCCAAGTTGCATGGCACAACCAACACTATGTTGGGCAAGTTCAATGCTGCCATACACTTCGCACAACGCCGCTCTTGCTGCATCGTTGTCTAGGTAACATACCAAGTGGGTGGACTTTAGTATTCCACCCCAGGCATAGAGGGCTATGTAAATCGGCAACAGTCCCAGCTCATAGATAGAGTTGGTAGGACAGGCCAACGCTCTCCTCATGAAGTCAACTGGAACCTCCGACGAAAAATGCTGACGGCAACATCCAAAGGGATCCACCAACACTCCTCCCCCACTGCCGACACGAGAGGAATCACCCTCACATGCTCCATCTGTAAAATCGAGAAAAGTATCCAGGGAAGCAGGACCAGTCTCTACGTTCTTCAGTGTGCCACACGTAGAAAGCCCCAGCTGCATTGCCAAGCATCACATGCAATCCCAACGTACGTAAAGAAATATCAAAAGGAACGGCTTTGGTTCCACCCTTCGCATACCACATGCCAGAAAGTTCACAAAGAGCTCCAGCTGCATTACCCCGAAGGGCAGAGCACCGAGTCCCAGAAGACAGGTCGTTTTTGGTCAGCATCCCAAACAACCACCCTCACAACATTTCTAGTTTCCAGACTGACTCCAAACTGCTTATGTGCACTGCGCAGGTCGTATGTCCTGCCAACTATTTCATCGTCCACAATGGCACCATGAGTGGTGCAAATCCAGCTGTGGTACGCCGCCAATTGGTCTATGGCGTGAACTCGGATTTTCTCTTTCATTCCATAGGCCTTGTTGTAGCCGCCCACGTGACGGCCATCAGCGACCACAGCCTTCTCCTTTTGTTGTAAGCCAAAACGTTTGGTCATAACTAAGTCACCAGTTTCGCTGGTCACGTCACGCCAAACCCAATTGTTGTCAGGTTCTTCCAGCGTTTTGTCCCAGTTTTTCGAGAAAGTTCGTCAGCCGGCGTGCCCACTACTTGACTGTATATCACGTTGTCCACGTCTTTGGCCATGTTTTTCACCATGTCAAGTGTATACTCTGGCCTCTTGGTTTCCCTGGAAAAACATTTGATTTTGTCATCCAACCATGCCAATGGCTACCAGACAACTGTGTTGTCGTGGTTTTCACTTGCATCGACCCGAAAAATACCCTTGTACAACTGTCGATGCACAATCTTTGTTCCTTTGGGAAGTTGTGCAAAAAATTGCTGTCGTAGAAACCATATTCAGAGATCAGTGGTTTAAATTTGCTTCCCTTTGGCAACTTATCCAGCAAAAAACCTGTGCTGAGACGAAGGTGCATGCTCTATTTGCCGCGCCAGATCTTGTATCTCAGTGGCACCAAGCTCTAATGCCTTGAGTTTTGCAATTGTTGCCAAACGCTCGCACAACAAAACGGGGTACGCAGCCTCCACGCGAGTTGGAAAACCACACGACCATCGATGATTTCAGCATTCCACTTGTGATGGTAGTGCGAGTTGTTGTATTGGGCAGCAATGCTTGTAAACCATTTCACATTGTACCACCAGACTGTGGCCTTTTTTCCGCATTCCACCAAGGCAGCAGAAATGAAAGCTTCTACCATGGGAATTTTTCCAGAAAAGAGACTGCATGAGCTCACGGGTGCTGACATAGGTTATGTTTGCACACTCAGCCTTTATTTTGTCCAAAACAGAAAGCCCATGCGTGCCCATCGGCTTGCGGCCAAAGGTCCGCCTCTTGCTCTTGAGGCTGTTCCACAGGAGGTTGCAAAATGCACCCATAAAATGATGGGGGAGTGCCTGGCCCTCCGCGAGTCTATGTCAGTGGCCATTGCACTCAATCCCACATCTCGCATTGCTGTCGATGGGCTTGCCGTGCCTGCGAAGTTTTTCAAAAATATGACTTTGTCAAGTCGAAAACCATCCAAATGTTTTTCCCCTTGAGGGACATGGCTGTGAAAATCTTTCCCATTTGGGACACCTTTCTAAGTGAAACCGGGTTCTTGTTGAACCCCCGGTATGGCAACAACTTCGCAAGTTTCTTGATTGTCAATAGTTGCTTGTTGTTGCTCATCAGGCTTGCGACTGATTTCGTCGCGATGGCACAATTTTTTGGGACCCTTGACCTCAAGTCAGGATTTCTTCACTCTGCACGTCACGAGACTGTGATCGTTACGTTTGCACTTGATACGCACGTGTATGCCTTTCTTGCACATGCCATCCTTTGTTTCCTCCTGACATCCCTTGCTTTGGTATAAGGCCCAACAAATAGGAGTACCCTTGTCATCAAACTGGCTAAAACCCTGTGTTCATCAGGACAGTTTGCACGAGCTTTGCCAGAAACGCGTGCCTTCTTTCTCGGCTGTACGGGTCATGGCACTGATGGCTTCGGGAGCCCTTTCATCAACACGTGAACTTGATGCAGCTCTGGCTGAAGCACTGGGAAAAAGGAGACCGGTGTACGTTGATGCTAGGGCAGTGCATCAGTTGTGTCATCAACAAAACCAAAGCAACTCTCCTTTGGGTCCAGCATTGAAAGGCCCTGCATGATCTTGCGACATCAAGGGGAAAAGTTCCTTGTCCGCTCGTAGGATTTGCTCCATGGTCACCCTTGCATAGCCACTCGGCGCTTCACGCGTCAACTGCATGAGCAAAACCTGTGCCCACTTGTCGTGGATGTCATTCGATATGAGTTTGCATGGGTCAAATGCTAATCCACGTCTTTGTAAGTCCCTTTGCATCAAGAGCTCATTGGACGTATCGGCCCCGATCTTGGGC